TCCAGGAAAAACTGCGGCAGCAAAAGCCCAGTGCAGCAGCAAATATGGCTGCGTTCGGCTCCTAGGGCTCCCGAAAGGAGGCCCTCGGAGGAACTGAAGCCGCCCCTTTGGCCCGCCGTCATCTCTCCCCCCCTCCTCTCTTTCTCTCTTTTTGTACAAAAGCCCCCCCTCAAAAAAGACCTCCCTCTTGGTAGAAGTTGGTGGGTTGAGCTTGGTCTTAAAAGAGATAACATTTTAGGGCAGAGATAAATAAAGCAGAGGGAGTTCTCCGGGAAATCGAGGGCCCCTTTTGCGCTCCCAAGTGAAATCCCCCCCTTCGGAACTCTTCCTAGTTTTAACAGGGAAAGAGATAAAGGGGGGGAAGGGGGGGGGAGGGAGAAGAAAAGCAGAAGAAATGTGGGGGTGGGTGGGTAGCGAGTTCTTAGGAAAGGAAGGAGCCTCACCCTTTTTACCCACCCACCCCACACATGCAGCCCGACTGGGCATAGGAAGGGGCAGTGGTTTGGAAACCACTACCTGTTTGATTCGGATTTGGGGGAGCCGTGGCGGTGAGGCCGGAGGAGGAGGAGGAGGAAGAGGAGGCAGCGAAAGAGCAACAGTTGGTTTCCATTCTGCATAACTTTGCCCGGAGTGTGTGTGCGTGTGTGTGTGAGAGAGGGAGAGATTCTTTCTTTCTTTTTGATTTGATCCACCATGGAGGGGACATCGGAGAGAGAAGTTTAGCAGCTGTTTCCCTTGCTTTGTAGTGGGAAAAGAGGAGGTTTTGGATCTCTCTCTTTCTCTCCGCCCATCTCCTGAACCTATTTATCACAAGGGAGGGAGGGTGGCTAGGAGAGAAAAGTTGTTTAGCTCCCTTTGATTACAGGGAGTGGGCGGGGCCTGTTGTGCGGGAAGGAAGGAAGGAAGGAAGGAGGAAGAAGAGGAGGGAAAAAGGAGGACGGGGGAGGGGGAGACAGCGAGAAGCCCAAAGCCCGGGCACAAAGCATCTTCCCCTCTTCACCACCCTTGCTTCCCTCCCGACGAGGACGGCTCTCCCTGCCCGGAGGTGAGGAGGACCGGAGTGCCTTCCCAAAGGCTCGAGCGGCGCCGGCTGCCATGGAGCCGAAGCACAAAGAGCTGCTGGCCCAGTGTCACCAGAGCCTGGCTCAGGCCATGACCGAGGTGGACAAGGTGGTCGACCTGCTGGAGGCGGCGGGCGCCTTGAACCCCCGCGACTTGCATGAGCTGCGGGAAGCCGCCGCCGCCGCCGTCGCGGGAGGAGAAGGAGGAGGAGAGGGAGAAGGCGGTGGGGATGCAGGAGGAGGAGGAGGAGGACGGGAGAAAGCCTCTGCCAGCGCTGGCAAAGCCGATCTGCTCATCAAGCTGCTCCTGGCCAAAGATCGGGATCACTTCCAGGACTTGCGCGTGGCTCTGGAGAAGACGCAGCCTCACCTGCTCTCCATCCTTTACCTGAACAACGGCGTGGCCGGCGCGCAGCCTGGCGAGACGGCTGGTGAGTGGGCACCGGGGAGGGGGGCGGCGGCGGCGGGTGTGTGTGTGCAAGCCTTGCTTGTCTCCCCACCCCTTCTTGTATGTTGTGATGTGGAGGGAGAAGATCTCGGTTGGTAGTTTGGAGGAGACGAGGATAAGGAAGTGAGCCGCTCTTTTTGCCTTGATCACATTGAGGAAAGCGGCAGAGACAGGATAAGTAGTGCACAGGTTGCGAGGAGGCGTGTAGCTGGGAAGTTGGGACAGTCATTATTGATTAATCATTCCGCCCCCCCCCCCAAAATCAGGCCATGAAAACAAAAGCTGTTAAAATAATAATGCAAACGTGTAAGCATGCAAATTTGAACAGATTCATACCTGAAGGGGCATCCAACAACAACTGAAGAGTGATTGCAGAAGCTCCAGTTAAAATTAATAAGAATTAAACAGCATTGAACTTCTAAGGGAAAGAAAAAAAGCTGTATAAGCTCAGTAAGGTGCAATGTATCACTGAGAAATCTTGTATGAGGGGAGAGTTAAGCTTGTTCAAGATTCTGTTTAAGGCAGAAGCTTTCTTGAGGCAGAATGAAGGGACCATATATATATTCAGTTCTTCAAAAAACCTCCAGTTTATGAATGTGGGATATTGTGTTTCTCCATCCACAATTCAAAATGTTAAGAAATAGCCTGATATTGCTGCACAATATAATATTCGCATTGCCAGGAGGAAAAATGATGCCAAGCTTTATACAGCAAAGGACAGCCTGAATGTTGACAGCACCCTTGTCAGCAGTCTAGATGGTCTGCACAATACCCTCTTCAGCTGATAATTGCATTTAAAACCCTAAATGGCTTAGAATCATGATATCCAAGGGATCACTTCCCTTCTCTATTACTGCTGCTGGCTAACCTAAGCCATGTGGCCAGGCCTAGCAGTGCATCCTCCTACTTTGGTTTGATTGGGATGCAGTGGAAGGCCTTTTTTGTTGTGGCACCCGGAATATAGAATTTCCTGCTTGGAGAATCATGTTCCTTCTCTCTCAGTGTTCTGAGGATGACTGTTACATTTGTTTTTTAAAAAGATTGTTTTTTGTTGTCTCCTTTTTGTACTTTATCTACAGTTTGAGGCAGAAAGGGAAAACATGTTCCATTAATGTTTTGCCAATTGTGTTCATTACTACATAAGCTGCTTTGATTGCTTCCTTTTGGAATTTGGAAAAGGAGGATTATTTGTAAACTCTTAATTTAAAAGGGCACTATAGCAATTTATAAGAAGGTGGTAGTGGATGATGATGGTGATGAATTTTTCTACGTCTCTTACAATGTTAGAAATCAGGCCAACCAATGAAAACAGTTGGCAAGAGGTATCTAAATCATGTGATTCACTGCAACAGTATATGCAGTAATGTAGTGATATATAGCTTGGAAGGTTTAAAAAATGAACTAGAAACATTCAAAGAAGATGTCTCTCAACTGCTTCTTATCATGATGGTTTCCAGGTTGCAAGATAGAATGATGCTGAAAATCAGGTATTGTTTGCTGACAGTAAAGAAGGGCAGAAAATCTCTAGTGTATATCTCAGTGGCATCTAGTTGGCCAAAATGGGATGCAGCATGACTTTCTTTATGTCCACAAAGTCTTCTGGGGTTGAGTTAAGGATGTGAGGAGATCTCGGCAATGTCTCCTTTTTGGGTGAGACTCAATGTCTTGACACAGCAAGATAGTCTATTGAGGACTCATGGCAACCTGGGAGAGCTGTCCTCCAACACAAGATGAAGACACTAAGTGCTCCCCTCTCCCCTTATGGTTTACACAGTTTGTTAGCATCTTTGGCCTTTGTGAAACCCTGTATACATAAAACAAGCACAATTGTACAAGCTGATTGCTCATAAAGAAACAACCCATCAAATGATTCAGTGTTTGAAAAGGCTGTGCAACAACAAGACAGTCGTTATTGTAATTTTCAATTTCACCCAGTCACACAAAAATCGGCTCAGTGAATTCTCTTCAGGCCCAACAAAAACATCTCATCCCAAGAATAATCTTTTCCTGTTTTCTCATTTAGTACACAAGGATGAACCAGGTCACGGTTTACATCCCTGAATTAATTTATAATTGCCATGATCTCTGATCATACAGACATAGATTTCATTTTCTGAATTCTAATGAGACATATACTTCTGTTAAACTCATTGAATTCGTAAACCTGGGTTCAAATCCCGCTAATGCCATGAAACTCAGTGGATTGTTATAGGCCAATTCTACTTCATAGAATTCTAAGTATGTAAGATATGGTGTCATTTCTGTGTATGAGAAAGAAGATCTTTTGCATCTCTTAATTGCAGTGAATGAATAATCCAGTCACAATTAATACAGAGACAGGAAGAACTACCACCTTGCAAAGGAAGCTTTTTGAAAGGAGGCAAGGACAGAACAGTGAATCATGTGGGGATATCTACCCCAGACAGCCTTCTCTGTAGGTGGGCACTTTTTAAAAAACTAAAACAAAACCAACATATTCTAGTACAGTGCACAGTTTGGAAATTACTGGAGTAAGCGGTGTCTGGGTCAATGTCTGTATTTATCTCTTGGCAAATTGTTCTTACTCTGCATTTCTTTTGCCCCTGTGCTTTATGTATACAAGGCTTTGCTGCCCTCCTCCTCCAGCAGAAGTCACTCTTTTTGCTGAGTAACTTTCAATGCTGCTGCTGCTGCTAATTGCAGTCTATGTTGCATTTCTGAAGAAGCTGCAGGTTTGTGTATTTCATACCTATACCATTACTGTCCCACCAGCAGTTATCGGAAAATGTTGGTAACTGGAAAACAGAGTTGCAGGCTTCTTGTGATCTGTCAGAAGTTCCATGTAGCAGGTTGTATTAATTGCTTAAAGTCAGAGAAGTTGATTGTAGTGTTGCAGTTGTTTCTGTTACAGGGTGACTGAACTGGGATGGCCTGACAGAATATGACAGGAGTTTATTCTGCGTGTGCTTAGACTGGGAACCCAGGCTTCCTGTGATTGTTCCCACTTGGGAGTCACTTGGTTTTAGTTAAGAGCTGGTTGGAATGAAGCGACAGTATGCATATTTTCCAGTTTTCTTCTGTGCAGAAAATTTCTGTGAAAGGGTTTTGCCAAAACATTTCTCTGCACATTGTCTCAGAAAGATATTGTTTCTTCTAGAGGCTTGTACAAATATCAAGGACTGTGCAGGTCTGGAGTTTGAGGTGGATTTGATGTCTCTTCAGCTCCCCAGGAAAACTTGTCTACACATATTAGCCTCTTGGTTCCTCCCACCTTATGTATGACTCCCCCTCCCCACATCCCTTCGTTTTCTTCAAAGCTAAGAGTTTGCAGTCAGAAGGTTTAACTCAGTCTTTAGTCCCAGCGAGAGTAAACCCGTTGAATCAGTGGGACTTGCTTTACAAAAGTCATTTTCACTCCACAGGTCTACCCTAACTGCAACTAACAGTTGGAGTTTGCCCAGATTTAGCAAACCTATGTTAGCTAGGTCAGTAAACATTTTGAAGATAGTTAAAATTTGTTTTCTTTTTATTCTCTTTCACCAAAGAAATGGTATGTTCTAGCCATTCTCAATGGGGGCCATATGGTCCCCTGGCACATTTAAAGGGGGCCACAGACTGTAAGCAATTCTTCACACACCATCTTATAAGGTTTGTTACACGACTTATACAGTCCTGATTCAGCCTGTATTTCTTTCATCTTGTGTTTATGGCTGAGGCCAAAAGGAAAAAAAAAAGATTGGGAATGGCTGATTTCTAGTTATGTATACAGTAGGATGTCTGAAATATTTTAGTAGAAAATTTGATACATGGGTGAAATTTTCCACATCTTACCTTCTTATAATTTCTCGTTTCAAGTGCTTTTCCAATCAGTCACACTCATTTCTAGAATTCAGGCTACTTAGATTGTAAGCCACAGCCAAGGAAGGATACAACAAACCTGCTCTGTCTGTCTGTCTGTCTGTCTCTAAAACAAAGCAACTCAGGTGGTCAGCCTGCCCCAGAGGGTGTTCTTGAACAGCATGAAAATGCTTTGAGTTAAACTAGCTTGAGACAAATCTGTCCAGTTTTTCTTCCCGAAGGCACCAAATGTAGAAGGAAATGTGAACCAGTGGTTTATATGCTTGAGGTGATTTCCAGTACTAACAATTAGTGGGAAAATCAATTTGGGTGTCTGTGGGTTTTTTTCCACCCCTGCAAGGCTTTTAACATACAGTATGTGCTTGAGGTTATATAGCATATAGATCCTTCCCATTTGGATCTCTTTGTATGATTATTGTAAATACAGTACTGTTGTTATGCCCTTGCTTACATTTGTTTGGATGGGGGGGGAATAAATGGAAGGCATATCTAAATTAGTTATTTTAAACTGCTTTAGGTGATACATCTTTCTCCCAGAGAAAGAGTTGTAGTTCTATGATGATACTGCAGCCTCTGTATGGGACAACCCTAGTCACCTCACTAATCTTAATCCTCTGTGGTTTACTGGAAGCTTAACCATGCCTAATTGTGTAGTTTTGGCCTACCTGAACACTGGACCTTATACAGTAGACAACTTAGTGAGCTTCATTTTGTTACTGTTGCAAATATGCCTTCTCTATAACTTTCTTTACTACTCCTGAAGTGGAAATTTGCCTTCTTAATTATTTAAATATTATATCCAAGGAAGATATATTTGTTTGTGTGTATAAAGTAAGGGAAGTGCATCTGCTTTGACTGTGTCACATTTGTTTCCATTTGGCTTAACTGAAAGCATTTTTCCTCAACAAGCTTTTTCTTATTTAGGGTATAGTTAATGAAGGGATTTAAGGCCAACACATTAATTTAACGGGCTTGTTTGGTGACAACCAATCACCTGTTTGAATAGGCTTTCTGGAGTTTGAAGTGATAAATGGTTTGCTGTGTTTTGAATATGATGAAGCGGCCCAAAATGCTCTAGTTGTTGTTCTTTGCGAACAATCTGAATTAATTTTAGTGAATGTTTTAAAAACTCAAATCTGAAGTGTT